TAAAATGAGCAATTAGAAAATATTACTTATTTTTAAGCTCACTTCTTCAAAGATCAGCTATTATGATTCAGGTTCTAGTTCTCTAAATAACACACTGTTTTATTTCAATAAAGCAGCATGATGAAGACCTTTCAGTGTCACCTGAGTAGTTAGGGTATAGTAGATAGGATGACAATAGTCATGACAATAGTCACTATACAAATAGTATAGTCATATTATTTATATATCACACTTCAAACAATAAGTAAAAGTTGGATTTAAACTTAGAACTCCATACATCCAGTTTCATTTTACTACTATATGCGTGTGGTATTGTATTAGGTATTAATTATTGATTGGATGGATCAAATCGGATCTTTATCTAGATTGCAAACAATGTGTAAAGTGAAAAGAGAACTAAATATTTGCTAAAATAAATGTTGGTGTCTGCTAGTATTTATTGAACATAACCGATGTATAGGATATTATATATGCTGCAATCTAAAAATCAGAGCGATGAGATATAATGTCAAATTATTTGCTTTATGGCACCCTTTGCATCAAGATGCACAGTCCACTTGATTTTCTGCTCATAGCAAATGAATTCTTATAGTTCATAAATGTGTTCTAACATGTAACTGAATAAAAATGTGTTTGCTTTTATTCAAAGCCTCTTAATAATGTAAGAATGAAATTTTCCTCACTTTTTGCCTTCAGTAAACCAGTTTTTTTTTTTCAAAATAACTCTGTCTGTAAATTAATCTTGGTGTCCTATAATGTCCTGCTTTTAATATTTGCTCTCAGAAGTGAACTGTTTGTCAAATTTCCATTAAACTGAAGGTGAAAAAATAATGAACCACTGATATTTAAAAAAAACGCAAGTCCATTAGATCTGAAACATAAAAAAAGTCAAAGATTTGGATATGTTCAATTATGGTTTAAGGTTCATTCATATTTAACTTTTAAATCCATTGTTTCATATTTTTAATAGAGCATTCTAGAGAAAAAATACGCTTACTGAATTTTATCAACAGATAAAATATCTCAAGGATGATTCTATTTACAGAAATACTTTTTTTTTTCACTCACAATAGTTAATTTTAGAACAAGGTTGACAGTGAGTTGATGTGGATGGATTCATTTTGAAAATCTACTTAGTATATTTGTTGGTAGGGTAATTAAGAAGTAAATATAAATGCATAGCAAGTACAGTGTTAACACAATTATAATCTATTCTCCAATTTTTATAGGCATTTAGAAAACTGATAAGATAAAAATAGTGAACCTATTTTTCAAAGAATTGTGTAGTTTTTTTTTCCCTGCACTAACTATTCAGTTCCTATTATTTTCCTGGAAAAATGCATTTGTGACATGCATGATATAGATGTGCTCTTTGTCTTCAAGGAGTTTTAAGTTTGTAGGGGATAAACAGTGATTTTGCATAGTGATAATGTTAATCAAAAATAACAAGCACCTCCAGAAAGATGCAGATGTATCACATAGAGCTGATGATGCCAGACAGCTTCTTGAGGAAGGTGACTTGTGAGTTAGGTTTTGAAGGAATTGTGTAGTTCAGAGATGTGTGATGCATGTAAAGTGAATGTAAAGTGGGGAATAATGCATGCTGGGAAAACCAGACTGAGATGATTATATCCATATGTTAGGGCTTCCAGCTGTATTCCAAGACACACAGTTTAATGGTCTCTGCAGCCCAAGGTGCAAACTGGAGGAGCAGGAGATGCAATGCCGGACACTTGTATCTGAGAACAGCTTCAATGTGTTTTGAAAACCCCCTCTATTTATCCCAGTAACTGTCTAACCACTAGCATCTATGAGAATCTGCAGGACCAGCTCATGGGCATGCAACCTGCACAGTCATATACTGTGGGTCCTCACTTGGTTTAATTTTCTGATACTGCCCTATAGAAACTCTTCATATTTTCTGAATAAGAGGTTGCAATTGTCATTTTGTTCTGGAGACTGCAAATTATATAGCCAGTCCATGTGCTATCCATGAAAATGACTAGGAAGCAATGGCCTATAGTCAAAATGAGTGCCATAGGTCCATATCAAAGTAGTTAATTGTTGAGGTCAGCACTGTGCAGCTATGTAACAAAACTGATCCTAAACTTAAACCTTTATTACTTTTTCTTCAAAGTCATGACTTCCAAGGCTGCCACAAGCTTAAGTTAAATATCATTTTTTAGGCCTTGTGTTGTTCCTAATGATAAATTAAAGAAACACTTCTGTAACATATTTCCTCATTTATAATATGCCCTCTGGAGCCTGGATCTCAGTATCATGGAGCTCTGTACCCCCTGCAGTCCTGTCAAATTAAATTCTGAGAAAATCTTTGGCAATTATTTTTCCTAATAAAAGTTCTGAAAAATATAGCACTGTGTCGGCAAACATTATTGGCTACCTGATAGAAGCATTCCTTTGTGTATTTCCTTTTGAGTCAGTATAAGATATATAAACTAAATGTCTTTTAGCTATTTCCTTAAGCACAGTTTATTCTCTCCATTCTTTTTACTCTGAATACTGGTGTGTATTTCTTTTATGTGGGTCATTATAGATTTTTTTCTTTCCTGATTTTTACTTATTTTTTTTTTCAAAATTGTAAATGACTTTGGATCACACACAGTATTGTGAATCAATGTTACCTTGATAAAAAAAAATAAAGGAATATAGTCACATATTTCTATAAAACTTAATTTAGAAAATGCAGGTACCCCTACCTTTTGAAAGTTAATTTTATACCATTTTGCCTTTAAGAAATACCTACATTAGTATCTGTTTTCACTAACAAAAGAAATGCAAACAGGATTGTCATATTTATGACAAAAGGCATGAAGTGAAACCAGTGTTACAGTAGTGGTACAGCAGTAACTACAGGCAGCTCCACCCACAAGCAGTAAGAGTGACCCCAGTTAGTCCCTTGTACAGGCTGTGATCTATCGTATGTCACATCATGTCATACCATATTTACTATATGTTAATGTTATTTTAGGTCTCAGGTATTTGGCATGACATGGACATGGTAGATTTGGTTTTAGTTTCAGAAATGCTAATATTTTTTTCCCATATACAGTAATGACTTTGCTCTTTCACCCTGCCCTTCTGACTTATGATAGGTCTCAGGAGAATGCTCCATTTTTTTTGATAAGGAAGACTGTGTGTCACTTTCCCAAAAGGCAAATATTTAACTGTTTTAGCATTTTTAGTTATCACCTACTTTTTAATTCATTTTTCAGTGTTATTCATTATATTGACTTACCACTGTGAAGAGCAAATATTTAACATTCTTTGACAAGTCTCCATGTAGCCTCAACCCTGGCTTTTACCCTTCTCACTTATATCCTAGAGAATGATATTAGAGGGGACTGGGGTGAAGCAAAAGGTGGGAAGTGCCCAGTAGACTGTGGTGGAGGCTTATTAGTAGTTTGGTGGCAGGCGGGGTGTGATAGTGTTCCTCTGAAGAGGAGTGACATTCTATACCTAAAACTTAGAGTGGTGGGAACCATTGTTAGTTAATTAAATAATTTACTACAAATAAAGAATGACATCAATTTTTGTGTTAAAAATCACTATTAATAAGACCATCTAGGGGCCTCCCTGGTGGCACAAGGGGTTAAGACACAACCTATGAAGCTATCCGTGACCACTGCAGCATGAGTTCCATCCCCGGCCGGGGAGCTACCCACATGGCGCAGCAGACCTCTCCTGTCTCGCCCGCTGCTCCCCTCAGCAGTGTATTTCAGTCGATCTGCCTGTTCTGTTCCCCATTTTGTCTCTGGTGAATCCTCTCACCCACCGCCCTACCCATACCTCTGGCCTGTACCCCAGTTCTTGTGTGCATAAATAAAATAAATCTTTAAAAAAAAGACCATGTAAATTTTATTCACTGTAAAATGATTGCATTATTTCAGAACCATGTGTTTCTGCTTTTGAAGTTAATAGCTGTCTCATATTATAGATGATTTGTTTTTATATGTTCCTAGGAATTCCTCAAATATAAAATCTCTGATACTATAATAAATATTCTGTCACCACATTAGCATACATTCCTTATCTCCATTACTTTTGTTTTCCTAGAGAATTTCCTCCCAAGCCTCTTGACCTCACTCTCTTTCTCACTAGCTCTGAAATACACATGTACCATCATAGGAATGTTTTTACTGAGAGCGTCTATTTAAGAATGGCAAATTAAGTTCTGTACATAGTGGGATTTATTGACTGAGAGGTTTTGACATAGGATGTCTTAGATGTGTCATTTTATAGGTAGACATCTAGATTTTCAGCATTTTTTAATATATTCTCCATTGACCCAGTCATATTTACTACAAGTTAATCTTTTGTTGCACTACCTAAAAAGTAAGATTCTGAGCACCAATAGAGCAAAACATCTAAAGAGCCTCAGGAATCATAACATCATCCTATTTTAAGTGTCTTACCTTCACTGTATCAGGTGTCTCCTTTTCAATCTCCCTCTCCCTCTTTCATTGTTCTGCTGGTGTGTGGGATGGCAAGACAGGTACTAATTATGCAAATTGGTGTTTAGGGAGAGCAACCCTGATAGAACAGAATTTTATCAAATTCTACTGTTTCCTTTACCTTCGATTGACAGCTGATGTTGTCAGTACTGGATACTGTGCTATAAACTACTCTGCTTCTGAGCTTCCTCACTGCTGAGTGAAGTTTTGGTTTTCTAGGTCTGCTACAGCAGTTGAAACTTGATTCATCTGTTTTCCAACTTCTAAAATTTATTGATAATGTGTCTTTTATTGTATTGGCCCCTATAAATTTATTCATCTGCCCTCACTCACCAGAATTCATAATAGCAATTGGGCTGCATTTTTATTATGAATACCTCATATAGAGGACAGCTAAAGAATAAACCAAGAAATGAGCCAAAATAAACATATAACTCATAACTTAAATACATACATACAAAAAAACTTCCTTTCATGTGTTTTTAATTTGTTTGCTAAAGATTCAATTCCTTTCTCTTTTGAATACAGATGGAAGCTTTAGACAAAACCGACCAAACCTCACCTCTCTGCTAGTGCAACCTATATCTGCATCTCTCGCTGCAAAACTGATATCTCCATCAAAAGACAGAATAAAAAATGGTGCCTGTGTCCCTCTAGAACTTCCAAATAATGGTAAAGTATTTCATGTCTTTCTGTGTGTAGTTTTTGTAAAGACTGTGATTTAAAAACAAATTCTCTTAATTCAACAGATTTAGAATTACTCTTTTTAAAAACTAATTTTTGCTGAGATGAACTTTTATTTTCTTCGTTGCTCTTTAAGGGACAGTTTTAGAAACTATTTTGATTAAGACTGAAGTTTGACCAAACTGACAATTTTGAAAAAAGAAGAAAAGAATTTTGAACTGCAGCAAAGAAAAGCAGCTTTACAAATAAAGCATTTTATACATTCATGAAAATCTGCTTAACATAGTTTCCCATATCAGCTTCAGCAGTCTTGTTGCCTGCCAAGATTCAGTGGATAGCAGTCAGCTATCTGGGGTATGAAGTCTTTTAGGAGAAAGCATTATAAGCCTAATTCCTGCAATTGACTAAAAAATCCCTCTGTCTTTACGCATCACCGCCCGAGATGCTACTCTACTGCAGTGCAGTTTGTCAGCCTTGTTGGACCACATAGGCGAAAACTGAAGTAGTTAAGCAACCTGTGATGGGATGAAAGCCATAGGCTGCATCTTATTTCTGCCTCCAGCCTCAGCATTGGAGTTCTAAGGAAGAAACTCTCTTTACATATTGTTAAATCTGTATCTAGTTGCTGTAAAATTCAACTTGAGGTCTGTTTTTGTGTCAAGACCTGGAGGCTCAACCATCATTATTTTATCTTATCTGTTTTCCCCTTGACAACAAAAGCATAAAACAATGTTTTGAAGATACCTTTAAAAAATCTGAATACATTCAGGATTGCCCTCTGCAGAGACACATGTTTTTCAAGTCCTATAGATTGAGAGCCTCCTAAACTGATTATCGATTGAGCAAAATGGGAAATACAAAAAAAACAAGGAGTAGACTCTGTCCTCAAAGCAGGAATGAAGAAGCCCTCAAGGAACACTTTGTTTTGTGTTTTCTGTCTTCTATTTTAAGCCCCACAAATTGATTGTGGGCTGTGTTTGTTAAAATATGTAAACAGAACTGTAATAATAGTTTAGTTGTCAGCAAAGCACTAGATCTGTAAAAGAGCAGATTTAAGCTTGGATTTAATTAATCAGCTGATTGATTCAATAAATACTCAAAGTCCCTACTGTGTTGAGCCACTGTCCTGCCCTCAGGAAAAGATGACAGGTCTCCACTCCTGCTCATGCCCTTAGGTCACCTCCACCACCCTCCCACCAGCTTGTAGATTTGCATAATAGAACGATATCTAACTGTCTATTGATAGTGTTTCAGATATCTCCAGTGTGTCTGAGTACTTCTTTTACACTATAAAATATTATGTTAGCAAGCATCTTTCTTGTCAAATAACTATATTGATTTCTTCCACAAGATGTTAAATGTCTAGGTAATAGTAACATAGCAAAACAAGAGGACTCTCTACAGTTGTGTCTCCACAGTAAGTTAACAACGTATAGGAAGCTTAGAAGAAAACCTGAGATATATCCTTAAACCTCTTTACAACTCCAGGCCCCATGAAACAAGTTAGTCCTGCTTTCTAAGCAATTATGTCATGTCAACTTTTTCATTACCTATCAAGTAGATAATAGAGTTGGATGTGATATGGTGTGGCCCTTTTTGAGCCTTTCAAAGAGATCATTCCTTAGTAGATCTAAAATAATAATATAAATATAAAATAATAAGAGAACTAAAAACTTCTTTTAGAACAGGTGCACTTTAATAACTTCTAGCCATCAACTTGGAGAGCATAAGCAAAATCTTAATTTGCTCAGGATTTATAGCATGAATAGATATGTGGTTATTCTTCACACCAAAAAGAAATAGTGAGCTAGTCTACATTAGGAAAGATTGATCACTGTTGAAAGCTAGATTGTGCAATGGTGACACCCCAATTTTATGGCTCTTCAAGCAGACAGTTTCACAGTAAACCTAGGAGTCTGAGCTGGAAGCTGTAACAGAGTAATCTGTAGAACTAAAGATCAGCCTTCATGAGTGCCAGTCTGAAGTTCTTGGACAAAAGGAAAAAAAAGCTTCAGAAATCACTTTGAAGGACTATTCATCAAGGGTCTTAAATAGAGTGAACATAGGTGGGAAACCTATTGTCCAAAGTCCACAGAAAGTACAGTCGATTCTCTATTTCCTGGGGAGTTCAGCTTGGGTTTACAGAGGGTGACACAGATCTGTCGTTCACCCAGAACTTCTCCAGTATCCAGCTTTCTATCGTGAATGTTTTGATGTTAGGCAAGTATTCAACATAGATTCATTCTATAGTTTTGTTTTCTTTAAAAACATAAAGATAACCACAGTTGTACACTCTTAATCAAAATCACAATAACAAGTGTTTTCCAATTTTCAGTGATTCTCAGCAATTTATACAGTTACTTACAATTGTATCACATCATTTTTGAAGTAACTTTCACCCCTTGCAAATCCACAAACTCCAACTAAACTTTGTATTTTATATGTTTGATAAAATTCACTGGAGCATAGCCTATCATCATATTTTGACAGTCCTCTTTTATAACAGGCTGACAGCTCCATTTTTTAACTCAGAAACTACCAGACATTCCTCAATATCTCTTTGATTCTATGTGCTACTATTTCCTCCTAATATTTCTCCCTACCATTATATTCAGTATATGCCTAGCAAGTTTGTTGCTAGCATACCCACATATGCCTGGCAAGTTTGTTTCTCTGAGTTTGAAGCCCCAGTGTCCTCTGAAATACAGTGCATATGTCATCCCCATAAAAAGCTTTTGAGGGACCTCCCCTGGTGGCACAGTGGTTGAGCGCTGGGTTGCAAGGCTGCCCGCAGCCTCTGCAGCGCCAGTTCAATCCCTGGCCACCGGCGAGGGTCCCACAAAAAAAAAAAAAAAAGGCTTTTGAGGATTCTACTCAAGTTGGCCTTAGGCTTTCCTCAAAATCTACCATGATGTAGGCACTATGATATAATTGCTTAGAGTATAAGCAATTTATATTTTTATTAAAATGTATTTTTATTAAATTTTATTAAAATGCATTTTATTAAATTGTATATTTTTATTAAAATGTAGTTTTTACCTCTATGATTTCAATTATTTGAGGTTGTTATGTCCTTGGATATGATCCATGTTCCATGCATGTATGAAAAGCGTGTATACTGTGGACTTGTTAGTGGTAGAGTTGTATTTATATCCATTTACCACATTCTTTAATTAGGTCATTCAATTATTCTATATCTTATTATTAGCATGAAAATATCCCATTGTGAGTTTAAATTTATCAATTTTACCTTGGAGTTGGTCAGTTTTTGCTCTATATATTTTCAGTTAATTTATTATCTTATGGTTCTTATCTTATTTCAAATATATCATATTGTCTGGATTAGTTGAAACATTTGGTGGGTGAAGTGGTCTTCTTTATACCTAATATCCTTTTCTTAAATTTTATTTGATCTGTTATTTGTTTATCACAACTTATTTAGCTACAATAGTCTATTTGGGCAAGATAGTATTCTTAGGCTACACCTTTTTTTTAAATTTTCAACTTTTCTGTGTATCTTTTTATATCATATTTCTTATTAAAAATCAACTAATGGGCATTTTAAATGCAGTCTGATCATATTTTAACAGGAATATCTGATTGCATTTATGGGAGTTTTGGTATCATATTTTCCCTCTACAATTTTAGAAGTTACAAATCCCTTTTTTATTCTTCTAGAGTTATCCCAGACTTATGACTTCCTAGGGCTTCCTGGTGTTTGCTCTGCTCCAAATAAATTTCTGCTCTGCCAAGTAAATTTCTTTGCCATCTCTTGGCAGGGACAGGCGGAGTGCAATTTTTTAGGGTTTCTACTTTATGGAAAAAGGGTGTCTTTCTAGAGCAATTTCTTCTCTCCAAATTGAGTAGACTGACAGCTTTTCCTTCTGACCCTTACATCCTATAAGGCCATCAAGATTAAATGTTTCTCCAGATTCATTTAATCTGGAGTAAAGTCTTTTAGGATAAAAGCAGAATTTTGGCTTACTTATCTGGGTCCTCATCACAACTTAAACTTTTGACTTAGTAATTCCTTGTTTCTGGATAGTTCTTAGATTCTGTGAAGATTTGCTTTGTATTTTTTTCTTTTATATATATTTATATATTTTTTAATTCTTTTACATCATTGTTCATTTTTAAACAATATATTCTTCCCCCCACCCTGTCAGTTGTAGTCCCCATAGAGTTTCCTTCACCAATGCACCTGTGCGCCATCACCTCAGTCCCCTGTGCTCCTCCCTCCCTCCCCTCTGATCCCTCTCCCTCCTCCTCCCTGCAGGATGTCTCTGGTTTATAATTGTCCATTTTTGCTTTGTTGTGTTTTGTACTGTTTTTATTATTTTTACACTGATGTCTTATTTGGTTCCCCTATATCCCTGCTATACGTGAAACCACCCAATATTTTTCTTTTTCCTTCTGGCTTATTTCACGGAACATAATCCTTCTAGTTCCATCCACATTGTTGCGAATGACATGAGTTTATCTTTTTTGATTGCTGAGTATGCCACATTGTAAATTTTCTTAGTGGGAGGGTTAGTCTGAATACAACAGTCCACCGTGTTGATAGGAAAGGATTTTAAGGGAAAAAAAGAAATGTAATCCTTCTCCTTCTTTCCACTCATTCATTTCCTGACAAAATACATGGATAACTCAGTAAATGTACCCAGATTGATCAACATGTAAGTCAGGTTGTTATCAGGAAATCAATGACGTGCTAAATTATGCAATGCAAAGAGTTTAATCAAGGGTCTAAGAACTTGGTGTAGACAGGAAAAGGGAAATAGAAAGATAGTGAACTACCTTAAGGCTAGAAAGTATTACTTCTCCTAAAACCTGAAGGGGCAAGAAAATAAAAAGTCATGCAGGAACTGGCAAGTAGGAGCTGGAGGAGAGAGCAGTCTCATAGGAGCCGTGGTTTTGTGATCAGCTAAGAAGGATTACAGAAATATATAATACCCTCATCTTTTTCTTAGCCATCCTGATGGCCACTC